TTGAATACTATTAACATTTATAACAATACTCTTAAACACGCTAGCAATCACGGGGGAGGACACTGATAACACCGTACATCTCTACCTCTAGGCTGTCAGTTTTAAATATTTAAATCAAACCCTATGATAGATCAACCTGAATATAATGGCGATGGTTATCAAAATATCAAATGTTATTCAAACGAAAATAAACTGAAACAACCGATGGACGGAAATGGGAAACAAAATGAATCACAAAGAATGGAACTATCAAGTGCTTTGGGTGAAAGAAAACGACAAGGATAACAGGAACGGGGACTGTAGTCGTGATCAGGGCATGGAACTTCAAGATTGTTGGAAAAACCAAACTTTTGGAGGATGCGAGTACAAACGCGTATTCCCGATAGCTTTTGTTTTGCATACAATTACTTGATCCCGTCGACCTTGGGTTCCCTGGCCCCACCTGCAAAAGCCCCCATTACCACCGGTCCTGCATTACAGGCGGCTGGGGTTTGTTTACCTCAGGTGCGGCTACATAACCACCCCTGACCGTTTTCTCTACTTAATTTTCCCGCTGCCCTGCTTCTGTGTCAGTCGGCTAGGAGAATGGTCGTGGGGTTTTTAGAGGTGAAGTAGGAGAAGAAAAAGATCAAGAAGAAGTAGAAGAAGCTTGAGAAGAATACGGCAGCGGCGGCAGAATTGGGAGAAGGTGAGGAGGAGGAGGAGGAGGAGGACAGGGGATTAGTAGGCTAGAATTGAAGACGAATTTAAATCTGTACAAAACAAGTAAGAGAAGACGGACAAGGAGAAAAAATATCTTGTTTTATTTTATGTATTATATAGGTACTTTCAGCTGAGACCACGAAACAGTCAACGTTCTTTATGTCCTCTACATTGTACTAGAAGCTCATGCAACGATCTTAACGTCCTTTGATGCCTTCGCAGTCGTCTGAACTTATTGCTCCGTGTACAGTGTACGAGTGTATGAAGTCTAACACATTCTGGAAATTCTTGTAGCTTAGCGAGCAAATTTTGGCAAGGACGCAGCACGCGGCCCACTCAGGGAACAAAAACCGAGCCATCGCGACGTATTGCGTCATCACCTTCTTTTATAATTGACGCCTCCTCGCCCTCGTAGCCAGGTGGAGTGTCATCTGCTTCTTTTTCCAAATCAAACTGGAAGCACGGCGAAAAGTCCTCAACTTTTGTTTGCACTGTCAGATATCTTGATACCCTCACCATGCCCCAGGGATCGGGTTACTGGTACGTGTGCGCCTCTGCATGTAGCTGTAGAGGAATTTATCGCGAGGACGCAATATGTCACCTCAACATTTATTTGAATGTTTACCTACTAACGCGCTCTTCTTTCCGCCGTCCAGCCCAAACTATAAAACCTCTTCTACACGGTGAGCTGGTTTTTGTTCCCCTGAGTGGGGTCACGTACTGCATCCTTGCCCAAATTTTTATAACAGGCAAACTTTATAAAAAAATACACCATTTCAGTCGAATCCCAGTTTGGTTTTAAGAAAGTGGTTCAGTAACCTGCCTAGAGGGCTACTAAAACGGATTCTCGCGTAACGACCAATAATTTTCGCCCTTTTCCCGAAAGGAAATCAATGCACAAAATTGTTTTTTTTTCAAGTAATTCGCTGGCAGATCCTTGTCCGTAGGCCTTGACTTTTAATTATTGGGAAACGCAAACTGTGATATGGCAGTCTTGGCATTACCAAGAAATTTAAACACTATTTTCCCGGAACAAATATGAGCAAGGCAAAGGCAACGAAATATCCAGAGTTTAGTGACGTCATAAAATTTTGTAACCTCCTATTCACCTGAATACGGTCATTGTGAATTAATAAGATAATGAAATGAACCGCTCAATAAGAGAGCAACCTAAAGGGGTGGAAGGTGACACGTAAATAAAATATGGATTTCTGGTGCACCTGGCCAGGGGGGAAGGGGAGGGAACTTATCTATGCAAGCGAATTCAGATTAATGTGAAAACCTGTCGAGCGTGATTAAAAATGTAACGCGCAGGACAGCAGTCGGGTAGGCGGGGGAAATGAGAGGACGTTACCCCATTCCCTCTCCCGTCCTCTCACGTCTCCTCGATTGACTGACTGCTGTCCCCGCGTTACATTTTTAATCACGCTCGACAGGTTTTCACATTAATCTGAATTCGCTTGCATATATAAGTTCCCTCCCCTTCCCCCCTGGCCAGGTGCACCAGAAATCCATATTTTATTTACGTGTCACCTTCCACCCCTTTAGGTCGCTCTCTAATTGAACGGTTTATTTCATTATCTTATTAATTCACAATGACCGTACGCAGGTGAATAGGAGGTTACCAAATTATATGACGGCACTAAACTCTGGATATTTCGTTGCCTTTGCTTTGTCCTAGTAAATTAACTGTGGCCTCTGGTAAAGTTCGATGACATCGCGGTTGCACATCATATTTTGCAACCGGAGATAAAAACTTTAGCTCCCTCTGGAACATACTGAAAAACTGTTACAATTGGTTCCAACAACCAATCAAAAGTTTCTCGGTGGCACTAAGGGTGATCCGAGGCATGTTTTATCAGTGTAGATTTCACTTACTTAGACCGTAGCAGTGTAACACATCACAAATTAGGTGGCGTAATTGTTTTTCTCTAGTTTTGTAACTCTGTCCTCCGCTGTGCTTAGATATGATGCCTCAATACAGCAGGAGAATTTTCAGTTTTAGGCACACCAGTGGCAAATCTTAAGTCGGATACCGTGAAGAAGGAGACACGATCGCTGTGACAAGGGCTTTATTAGACCGACGTTTTCGATTTCCGCTCGAACCTATTAACAGAGACAAAAGCAGATAGGTTTGAGCAGGAATCCGAAACGTCGGTCTAATAAAGCTCTTGTTCCAGCGATCGTGTCTCCTTCACAACTGCTTCCTGCGACTCGTCTCTTTGTTTCTATTGGGAAAGTCGGATACCATTCATACAATATCTTAGGCGGATTGTCGAACGATGTCAATTCGCAAATAATTTTGTTTCTAATCCCAGTACCCTCAAGGCCTTTATAATCTTGCTACAGTTGCGTTTACTCAGCAACGAAAACTTTGTCATAATTTGCTGGTAATATTCCAGTTGCCGATAAGGACAAACTGCGAGTTCCGGGGAGCAGATGAGAAGAAGACGAAGAGGAAGAAGATGCCATCTCGAGAGCAAGAATTTTATTCGTTTGCCGGTTCGGATCCTCATTCGAACTCACCATCAGAGACAGCTGCAGATACGGGTGATGGAAGCGCAGGGCGTGAACATTCAGAGAATGCGGTTGCCATGTCACCCATCATAGTTGACAACCTCCGCATTCTTCGCCAATGGTAAGATGATCGCTTGCCCGCCCACGTCCGAGTCACTAATTGGCGTAATTTCATCATCTTGGTTGATTGTTGGCCTGATCATTACTCAGCCATTTGGTTCGCTATTGTTTTATCTAGAAGCGGTATTCATCTGCGCCCCCTCTACGCAACCGACTACTTTGTCCATGCAGTCTCATCAATAAATATGGAGAGATTTGGTCATTACACCTGTTAATAGTCTTCAGACCGAAGAACCATAAGTCGAAAAGTTCGATACTCGGGTGGTTGTTACATCTCACGAGCATTTAAGCACCACTAATCTTGAAGATGTAGCCAGCTCTCCTCGCATAGACCGCGAATCCAGAGCCAAAGTCATTCCTCGCTATCACCGCTGCTGCTGTCTTTGCGGCTATTCGCGTCCGGAGTAATCTCTCAGTTTTTTCGAGGTAGTTGCATTGTCCGCAACTCCACCAGATTTAGATACTTGGCTGTTTAAGACTTTTCTAGGACTGTATTATTGCAATGACTTTTGTGTTTGGGTAAGAGGTCTGAAATTTGATACGTCCAAACAACCGCTTCACCTGTCCGTAAGTCTGAGTATTTTTGAATTATACGATGGGTCGGAGAACAGAGTTCCTTTGATATACATTTGAAAGGACGTAGAATCAGATCGAGGTCACCTCCTTGACTCTCACCATACTTCATTTGATAAGCTATACTGCGTCTGAGTTTTCAACTGTCAACAACGTCCAACTGATTCTGCAGTCTGTCCTGTCCAGTAGGACAGTGGAAGGTCCCTTTTCCGAAGACAGGATAACGAGGTGTTTGTCGGCCTTGAGATTCTCCGATGCATTGTGTTCTATCTTCGAAAGCATTCCTCAAGGCCTATGAGACGGGCGAAAGGATGACACTTGGCTTTGATGGTACACGACCTGGGGTTTAAGGGGCCGCACGGCAACAACTGCAGGTTTTGCGATATGAAATTTCATCCAACGTCTCTAATGCCAAAGCAGGGAGGCGAACAACCTCATCCAGAAAGAGACAACCCTAACCTTTCGTGGCAGCATAACATGCTGCCACGAAAGGTTAGGGTACGACGACGTCCATCGTGTGCCCTGTCACATGGTGGACGCGGGGAGAGATACTTGCGCATGAATTCGTTTATGGTAATAATAAACTGGCGCATCATCTACCACAAACTATCCTCCCTTACCCACCCGGGTCCGGCGCTAAGGCAGCAAAGTAACGCCTGCATTTTACATCTCTACCATTAACCACGGTCATTCGTTGGCACGCATTTGAAGTCATGTGAAGGCGCTCTTCAGACATACACAGAAGCAGCGCATCACTCTGACAAACGCAGTCCCAGGTGTCCGTAATCTACATCCACATTCTTTATTAACTCGAAGACTCAAAGAGGGAGACTTATGGTTCTAGGCCCGAGCAGTCTTTCTTCTTGCCTGACTTTTTATGCTCACAGCAAACGATTTGAGTGGTTGAAGAAATGTAAGTTCGTTAACTTATTACTCTCCTCCCTGCCAAATGAACGTGTTGCAACGCTGATGTGGTTGCAGTCCAAATTGGAGTCCCAGCAAATATACATTCACGTGCACGCTGCAGCGTCTTAAGTTATTAAAAGGTCTAATTCAGTCATCTTATCAAGATTTGCCTGTATATAGGACACATTATTCTTCACTTCTCGGTGCTTGATTTAGATAAAAACTATGCAATCTTAAGTATTTTAAGCCATTTTTTAATCTTTTCACAGAATATAAACAAAATTGGGGGACCGAAAAGCAAAAAGATTATCAAGAAACTCACGAACTTGTCCAGGCATCAGAATACTGCCCTGAAGTACAGGACAGGGGAGGTCGTACCAGGCGAGACGCTGCTGTAAGCAGAGTATGGCGGCAGTTTTGTCCGCTTGTTCGACGGATACCGGCACACCCTGGAGAAAAGCCTCAAAGAAACTCGAATAGTTTTCCTCCTCAACCTTATTCTGTCGTCTTTGTTGGATGCAACGTGCAACTACGACCAAACACTCCAGCCCCGAGAACCGAACCTGTGTGCGTATTAGGCATAAAAACCGGTTTATGGGTGTGGAAGACCTGTAGGTCCTGGTAAAGTAGAAGAAGGGCAGTGCAGATATATTGGCCCTAACTACTGACCAACCTGGGGTATTACGTCGAAGACGGTGGGAGCGAGTTTCTTGCAGAGTTCATGCTGGTCTAAATCCAAGTTGGGAATTTGAAGTAGAAGGGACTTTAGGACACATAGTGCATTTTGGCGAACGTTTGGTTGTTTGCCTGCGGTTTGTTCTGCAAGGCAACTGATCACAAATCGGCCGGGCAACACGTTGACTAACAAAAGACAAATATCGACAATGCTTTGATAGATGACATTCTTTTGATCCCCCAGTAACTTGAGTGTTGTGGAAAGAAGAGTTTCTCGATTTTGTTTAAGAACGGTCTTTGGGAGGTGTTCAACTAACATCTACAAGTTTAAAAATGGCAGGTTAAAGGAAAAGGGTTCAGTGTAATTTCGTTTACACAGCCCAAGAAGGGTAGCATTATACTAGAATGGGCTTTTAACAATGAGCACAAAGGATCGGTATTTATTGCGTTTCTCAGCAACGCCGTAAAAGTATCTGCCTTCAAATACCGATGGTCCTACCTCTGAAATGGGAACTTTGTTACCATACTACGTAATAAAAAGACCGTCTTTACATTATCAAATACAACTGTTGTAAGCAAAGGTACGATTGCTGAAATAATCATCAATGGTGGTGACTTCAAATACGATCAGCAATTTTGGCACGAAAACTATAAAAGCAACTTTGCGGAAAAGCAACAAATATTGGGCAAAAAGCATGCAGGTGACTTATTTTCTTCGCTTGCAGAGCTTAAATGTTCTTTAGAACAAATCTATATCAAGGAAGAAGGAAAGGTTTGGCCTCGATCAGGTCGCTACTTGTTTTGGGTAAATACCAGTATCATATCTTCTTTTATTTCTTCCAGAATAAGATCTGAAACCCCGAAAACCTTTAAAACTCAAGGTCGCTCGTCTATCGGAATTCGAAACCATAAGGACTATAAATTAAGCAAGTCGTCACGACGTGCCTATAGCCCAGATAATTTTAAAATCTAAGTGGTTCTCAAAGTCAAACCTGGTTATTAGTTACAGACGACTATCATAAAAAGCTGAGGTTTTCTCAAGGTATTGGATAGATCCGACGTGGTCCCAAGTTAACGACTTCATCAAAGAGGAACGCCGCTCCAAACAATCCCTTTTTATAAAAGGAACCATCTTAAGTGCATCTACTATGTTTTCTACCTACTCTTTACCACAGGCAAACAATTGAAAAAGGAAATCATTATTTTTTATTCTTGCTGAACTGAAATATTTGGTTTCATAGAAACCTGTGACATTTTATGTCCACTCGTTCTTTTTCCTTCCTGTAGCTTGTCATTGGCAGGGGAGAAAGATTGTCTCTGAGAACGCTGAAATGCGTAACATTCCAAGGAGTTTTAAAGCCAAAATTTCAGAAACCTAAATCCTAACTCTTTTTGATCACCTTGTTTGCAACAGATAAATGCGTTATGTGGTTCAATACACCGAATTTGCGATATTCTTTAGTGTAAGTTTTAATAACAGTTATGTTTATTTTGTTGACCATGTTTCATCTGACAGTGCATCACTGCTTTCCTTGTACATACACGATTACGCTTCCAAGTATACTGTTACAGTATTTCAGTGAAGCATTGTTTCAGGCTGACGTCCATGCACACACCAAGGAAATATTTCCAGACTGCTTACCTATTGCTGGCCATATTTGGCATAAGACAGCATACCTACATACACAGTGGTTTCGAAAATCTAAGTCAACTTTATCAGGTATTTGTAAGCTCGTTATTAACAAGTTTTTATTTTATGTCCACTTTGCTATTTGAACGTTTATTCGCCAAAAACGGCGATGTTGATACCGTAGCTTAATATTTTTATTTACAGACAACATTTTTTAAATAAGGAATACCTAGCTGCTTTACGACGCCGTTAATAAGCAAAATACCCATGTGTGAACTATCGCCCCTTCTTTTCTTGCTCCGGGTGCAAATAGGAGTCTTTGCAACTTAAAAAAATAGACGTGGGTTATTTTGCTCTGTTGCGCCAAAGGTGGGCTTCCATCTTATAACTTTGTCATTGTCAATGAACTCTCGCTTTATAAATGGATCAAAAAGACTTGTGATCGACATTGAAACATTCACGGCAAGGCTGTGATAAACGATAAAGCATTTAAAAATCAGTAAGCCCTGTCCTTTAAACAACAAAAACGTTCCTCATTAGATTTTATCGTAGGTGTCCGTACATTTTCTGCATACATTTGGTCAAAATGGTGTGTTCACACCAGGCTTCGCTGCCGTTTGCAAGAGCATTTCAACCGATTACCTAGTACCAGCTAGATAAATGAAATTTGAACAAAGTGGACTATACTTGCCAGCTTGAAAACTTACTTGTATGATATTAAGCGTTGTAATAACGATATGAAAATTTGTGTCTTCCAGTAGCTGTTGCAGGAATAACAAAAAATAGTTGATATTTTCACTAAGCTGCTTGAGTAACTGGCGATTTCTTAGGTTTTGAAGTTTGTTAAATTCCTGCACATAGTCGTAAGTCAGACAGTACAAGTTGGAGATTGCATTCAGCCTGGTTTTCACGTCTTCCACTTCGCTCAAACAGAAGAAGACATCAAGCGGAACGAACTCAAAAAGGAGAGCGGCCGTTTGCATTCTCAAAGTATGACTGCGTGGACTGGGCGCAATTCGGTAGAGTCCTTTTTTGAGAGTAAGAGCGTTCACTTCATTGACTGTATTATTATGCAACCCTTGTTTTTATCTAAAAAGGTGAATTTTACATCTATATTTAATTTCACACATATGTATATGAATTCTTTGAAAACTGCTTACAACATTTACCAAACAAGGAAAAAATAACTAAGTATTTCGAATAATGATTTTAAGGCAAATTGCATGCTGAAAGTGACCTAAAATTTGCATGCTTACTGCAAACACCGTATCTTAAATCTAGATAAAAATTGTTTATCGGCAAATAAACAAAATGTCTATGATTTTACCTTTTCAAAGTTGCTAGTTATTCCATTTCGTCCCTTATTAACGTCAACGTAACACCAAGCTGACTTTAGCCAACACAGACCTTTTGCGTGCAACGCAAGATAATTTCTGCTAAGGAAAATATTTAGTTTACTTTATCATGGATTTGATTGCAGGTACATTAAAACACATTTTGGTTTGCATATTTTTTAAACATTTGGTTCGGCATCAATTTCAGCCTAACGACATGTACGCTGTGCCCTGTCAAGAAAACAGCTGCTTCATAAGTTACATCCAAAGAAACAGCTCCAGACAGCTTCCGTTGCGGTAAAAGCGCCAACAGTAAAAAAAATGAAGCCAACAGAATCTAAGAAAAAAAGCATTTTTTTGTTTTTCAGCGTAACCATGCATTCTGCTTTCCAGTACATCTCCAAATCTATTTCAGCTGCTGATAGGTATGCGTAGGGGATAAAAAAGACTTCGAAACATGGTAACGGTTACTGAAGAAGGTTGTTTAAAAACTTCAGCTACTCCTCATTCTGGGACTTCTTAGAGTCCATCGTAAATTTTTGATCGAACGAAACCAAAAATCAGCATAAGCGGCCGTCTACTCTCATGGCATCTGCAAATGCCACGCTACTCCCATCTATGTAGTCAGATACACAACATACAAGCTACTTCTTGTTTATATATGTCACTGTCTACCTTAGGCAAAACGTAAGAAACTGTACGCCACGAAAGCTTATTTTTACTCCCACTCGTTTTCCTTTGTTTTGTTCCGTACACTTCCCGCCCAACGTTTTACATATAATTTAAAATATTCTGTATTATTCTGAAATATTCGTATATTAATAACCGGGGCCCTGTTCCGCATTTTCCTCTTTTTACAATTTTGATCGTCGTATTCCGAGTATCTTCAACTATACACTTTTCCTATATCATGCGCACTCAAACCACCAGCTAGATTTAATTCATGTGCTGATTCCAACAAAAGAGCGACGGGATATCCAGCAAGTGTTCGATTCTCAAGTTCACAGAGTTGTTTTTCTAGGGTTTTACATGGACAACGTTCGATAAACGCCTGTTAATTAGCGCGTATTTACTGCTGATATCAATTAATTAATGTCAGTGTGTTAAGAATTAATTCTTAACATACTGCCGGATGCTGAAACACCATTGGCGTTTTCGGGTTATCGGTGCGCACTTTTAAAAATTACGTCATAACCATGCTCGAAAAACCTTTACGAAAACTCTTTCGGTTTGACAAACCGCGAAATTTCCTTAGGTAAATTCTATCAGAGGGAACAAATTCATTCAAAATTTAAAAATGGATGCCTGTCTTTTGTTAGATAAAATTATACTTAAAAACGCAAAATGCAAAATTATCAGTCGAAGTGTGTCAAGTTTTGTTTGACAAATTGGGGCTTTTGCTTCGACATTTCCGACTAACCTCTCGATGCACAATTCTAAATCTCCCATAAGAGCTTGAAATTTGCGGGGCGTCAAGGCCACTATCTATTTTGGGGCTTTACAAGATAGAGGAAGTTTGAGTTCATTCTAGAATTTTGGCTTTTATATGCATTTCTAAAATCATCAGCAAAAACTATTGAAATTAAATAAGGTACATCCCAGAATAAAAATTTCTTTATCCAAGTTGTTAAGAAAGGGAGAGGGTATAGTAAAATAGGATTCAAGTAATTAGCTTCTACAAGTATGCAGTCCAGTTCTCTGCGTTTATTGGGGGAAAAAGGCGTTACCCTTTATGTAGCCTATTTGCAATGTAAAACTGTGTGCAGATACAGAGAGACCATGTCAGCTGTAACACTTCAGAAGGGCCTATAAGAGTATAACTGTCTCCAGATGTTTTAGGAGTAACTGAGACCTGGCTGTCCGGGACTATTAGCGATAACGAAGTAGCCTTGCCTGGATACCAAATTTATCGGAGGGACAGGGAACATCGTCAGGGTGGTGGTATCGTTGTGTATGTGAATGACGGTCTAGCAGTGTCGGATAACACCACCAAGTTTGCGTGCAATACGGAAGCTATCTGGTTGACCAACAAGGCTACCGGTTCCCCGTGTCTCGATGTCCTCACTGTCTACCGACCACCTAGGACAGACCGAATCGCCGACATTCAACTATTGGAGCAGTTGGAGAAATTTTCCAGTCGACCTAACCTCATGATCATGGGCGACTTCAACGCACCAGGAATAAACTGGAATACCCTCCAAGCGTCAGGTTCAGAATCGGCATTCGACTACCGCCTGTTGAGCAAAACATTAAATGCGTGCCTCACACAACATGTAATGTTCCCAACGAGAACACGTGAAGGACAAAGGGCAAACTGCCTGGATGTGGTCTTTACGAAAACACCAGACAGCATAGACGAGATCACCTCCATGCCGCCCCTTGGCCGAGGTGACCACGTAATGCTTATGTGGGATTATTCGTTATTCTCCATTTCACATATTCCAGACCACAAAAGGCGTAATGTTTGGCGGGGCGACTTCAATCAGATGAGGGCAGACTTATCCGGTCTTGACTAGGGCTCATTGTTTAGGGGAAGTGTCAACGATGACTGGGAGCTGTTCAAGAATGTCCTTCTGCAGCTCATCAACAACCACTGCCCACTGACTAGTGTAAGACTGAACAGACGCCCTGGGTGGCTAAATAGCAACCTCAAGAAAGAAATCAACAGGAAGTACAAATTGTGGAGAAAATACTGCGTCACTAGACAAGCTGAATGCTTCAACACCTACAAGACACAGAGGAACAAACTGAGGAAGCTGATAATGCAGACGCGGCGGGAATTCGAGAAGAACTTGCTACAAAAAGCAACGCAGAACCCAAAATTGCTCTACAGCTACCTCCGACGAACTACAAGGAACAGGCATCAAATCCCTTTGATAAAGACTACTGATGGCGTTGAGATCGCTGATAGTAGTGATAAAGCTGCGTATTTTTCACGGTTTTTCCGATCAGTCTGCACAAACGAGGCAAGGTTCCTTCCTCCCTCCACAGAAGAACTGCCGACTCCAAGCGTCAGTGATATACTCTTCTCAGAAGGCATTGTCCGAAGACAATTAGAGGCATTGAACGAATCGAAGTCGCCAGGACCAGACGAGATTCCATCCAAGCTTCTGAAGGAACTTGCCAGTGAGCTCTCTGTGCCTTCGTCGATGCTCTTTCAAACGTCATTTGACACTGAAACACTTCCTGTCGATTGGAAGCTGGCGCATATTACTCCGCTACACAAAGGAGGTAACAGGGCAGCGACGACAAATTACCGGCCCATAAGCTTGACATGCATTCTCTGCAAAGTTATGGAAAGGATCATAAAGAGTGAACTGATGCAATTCCTGGAAGTTCACGGCCTGATATCGAAATGCCAACATGGGTTCCGAGCAGGAAGACCCTGCACGACAAACCTGCTGCAATCTCTCCAGAGCTGGACCCGAGCTCTCGACGACAGGCACTCGGTGCACATAGCCTTCATCGACTTCCAGAAGGCTTTCGACACTGTGCCACACCAAAGGCTCTTACATAAGCTGAAAAAATAGGGATCGGTGGCAACTTCCTTAAATGGATCGAAAACTTCCTTGTGGGTCGACACCAGGTTGTGTGCGTCGGTCGGGGAAAATCAGACCCTGCTATGTTCGAGAGTGGTGTCCCCCAGGGTTCAGTACTGGGACCCATTTTGTTCCTTATCTACGTGGACGATGCCGCAAGAGATTTAGACTGTGAAGTAGCAATGTTTGCGGATGACATGAAGATATGGAGTGTAATTCGGTGTCCTGCCGATGAAGACAGACTGCAGATGAACCTGAATCGGTTGGAGGAGTGGTCAAACCGTTGGCTCCTGCGGTTCAACGTTGCCAAATGTAGCATACTTCGCCTAGGCAACACAGCCAGATCTGTCAGCACAAGAGGCTACTTTCTGGGCGGTGCAGCCCTACAAGAGGTCGAAGCCCAAAAGGACCTCGGTGTGCTTACGACGAGTTCCCTAAAACCATCCGCCCACTGTTCGAGGGTGGCAAAAAACGCAGTGTTCGTACTGAGCGCCATCAAGCGTGCGCTTATGGACTTTGACGAAGACGCTTTCTCTAAGACATTCGGAACATTCGTCCGGCCGCATTTAGAGTACGGCATACAAGCTTGGAGGCCGTGGGCTGTTGTGGATCAAAACTGCCTCGAAAGAGTCCAGAGGAGAGCCCAGAAGATGGTTAGGGGTCAAAGCTCCTTTCCTTATGCAACCCGCCTAGTAAATCTGAACCTCTTTCCTTTGAGTTACAGGCAACTTCGCGGAGATCTCTTGCAAGCCTTCCGCATTGTTAAGGGGTTGGATTGCAGTCTGGCCTTCGAGGACTTTTTTGAATTTGCTACCACGACCAACCTCCGAGGTCACCCGTTAAAACTGCGCACTCAGCAGGCACAGCTGGATGTACGGAAGTTCTCCTTCTCGGTTCGGGTGGTCAAACCATGGAATGAGCTTCCCGCAGATGTTGTGATGTCACCATCTACACAAAGTTTTAATAAGAATCTGGGCATATTTATGTTCCGAAATGACCAAGAGCGATGAGAAGTCGAGCTCACCCCCTGTAACTCCTACTCATTTTGTCCCACCATTATGGGCGTGTTCGAACTATTTCAGCCCAGAACATTTATCTGTACACCACACA